ACCATGCCAGGCTAATTTTTATATTTTTAGTAGACACGAGGTGTCACCATGTTGGCCAGGCTGGTCTCAAACTCCTGACCTCAGGTGATCTACCCACCTCCCAAAGTGCTGGGATTACAGGCGTGAGCCATTGTGCCTGGCCGATGTGCACATATTAACTCACTCAGTCTTCACAACCACACTGTGAGGTGGGCAGTGTTACGATTCACGTTTTCTAGGTGGGGAAACTGAGGCCAAGAGCAGGTAAATAATGTGCCTAAGGTTTCAGCTAGTAAATGACATCGGATTTGGCCCCGGCCACTCCGCTGCGGTGGAGGCGCTCATGGGGGTGAAGGGGAATCGTAGCTCTCTCCCTCGTCGCCCTAGATCAAAATGGACTCACAGATGACGAAGCAGGCGCTGAATGAGATCGAGACAAGGCACAATGAGATCATCAAGCTGGAAACCAGCATCCGTGAGCTGCACGACATGTTTGTGGACATGGCCATGCTTGTAGAGAGCCAGGTACCAGCTCTGCCACCCATGCCACCCTGGGAACCTCCCTGGGCCCGAGGTCCCCTCTTCCAGCCTAGTCCCCATCCCTCCCTGTGCACATCTCCTCTGTCTGCAGGGAGAGATGATTGACCGCATCGAGTACAACGTGGAACATTCTGTAGACTACGTGGAGCGAGCTGTGTCTGACACCAAGAAAGCAGTGAAATATCAGAGCAAGGCCCGGAGGGTGAGCAGGGCAGGCGGCTTGGGGGTAGGCGGGGGAGCCCAAGGCTGAGCCCGGGCTGAGGTGAGTGATGGCAGCGGGCGGGAAGCCTTATCTCTGGCTCTGACCTCTTCCTGTTTCTGTTTTCTCTCCCCTCTTCTCCCTGCCACCCTCTGCCCCGTCTGTCCCTGCATCTGTCCATGTGTCGGTCTCTCTCACTGTCTCCCTGTCTCGCTCCTCTTTCTGCTGCAGAAGAAAATCATGATCATCATTTGCTGTGTGGTGCTGGGGGTGGTCTTGGCGTCATCCATTGGGGGGACGCTGGGCTTGTAGGCCCCCCACCCTTCTCTCTCCCAGACCCCTCCCCCACCACATCGGGAGCAATACCCCCACCACCCCTTTCACTCCATCCCCTGCTCCAGGCTCACCCCCAAAACAGACCCAGGCAGCCCCACCCCTCCTCCACCCCCATGGCAGACCCTGGTGTCCCTGGACCTTGCCCGGCCATGGACCCCCCTGCCCCCGCACGTAGATCGCAGCAGGCGTGATTACACATGCACACCAACATGCATGCCGCCGGCACATGCTCAAGACGTGTGGACACCCCAGCATGTGTGTGCGTGTGATGTGTGTGATGCACCAGAGCACCCCCCTGCCCCCGCCTCGGGTATGTGTGCGTGGTCTGAGCTTCCCCCTTCACCGGGGCTGTTGTGTAGACTGCAGCCGAGTGTAACACAGCTGCCCACCACGCCCCTCTCTGTCCTCTGTGAACGGTGTGTGTGTGTGAGTGAGACCACAGATCTGTGGACACGCCATTCGTGTACGTGGAATTTTGTGTTTGAGTGTTTGAACCTAATGCAACAGCAACAAAGCCACTGATACCCGAGCCCTTTGTGTCTGCTACAAACCAGGCGGGTGGTGTGTGTGTACTCACACTCACAGTCTCAGAGGATCCAGGGAGGCCCAGGTACACGCAGGCCATGGCACACACCCCATGTCTTCGTTACCCCAGGGGCTGCGGTGTGTCCCGGAAGGGTGTGTGTGTGTGTCTCTGTGTGTGTGTGTGTCTGTGTGTGTGTGTGTCTGTGTGTTTGTGTCTGTGTGTGTGTGTGTCTGTGTGTGTATGTGTGTGTGTGTGTCTGTGTGTGTGTGTGTCTGTGTGTGTATGTGTGTGTGTGTGTGTCCAGGATGTGCCTGAAGTGTTGATAGGTCTCAGATAGAGCCCTCCACACTGTGTACTGGCCACCTGCTTTGGGAGGGCACAGAAATGTGTATCCTTGCTACCTAGAATGCAGCTGTATGTGTGTGGCATGCATGTGCGTGCATGTGTGTGTGTTAGGGGCTCTCTACATGGTGTGTTTTTTATTTTTTTTATTTTTTATTTTTTAGACGGAGTCTTGCTCTGTCGCCCAGGCTGGAGTGCAGTGGCGCGATCTCAGCTCACTGCAACCTGCGCCTCCCTTACTCAAGCGATTCTCATGCCTCAGCCTCCCAAGTAGCTGGGATTACAGGGACCTGCCATCACGCCCGGCTAATTTTTGTATTTTAGTAGAGATGAGGTTTTGACATGTTGGCCAGGCTGATCTCGAACTCCTGACCTCAGGTGATCCTCCTGCCTTGGTCTCCCTCAGTGCTGGCATTACAGGCCTAAGCCACCACGCCTGGCCTACGTGGTGTGTTTCTGCCGTGCGTGTTACACTCACAGACACATGTGCGTATGCACACACTTCTAAGGATGTGGCCCCATCTGGGTTTGTCTCTCCAGTTGTCCTTGCCCCGCCCCTCTCCCCAGAGGCGCTGCCCAGTGCCCGTGTGGCCACACACATGGCTACATCATTGTGCAGCCAGAGCTTCCTGCCTGCCTGGCCTCAGGGCTCTGCACGCTCACACCCAGATCCTCATCTTCCGCCGTGTCTCTGCCCAGCATAGCCCCGAGCCCCTGGAAGCTGGTACCCCTCAGTGTGCTCACACATGGCAAGGCTGAGGTGGCCCCAGGCAGGGGCCACACCAGGCACAAACCATGCATGCTGGCATGGGTGCAGGGACCACACGAATGCCTCCTGGAAGGAAAGGGCTACTTGTAGGAATGTTACTGATAAGGCAAAATGCCAAGGACTTCCCTGCACAGATCAAAGATCAGGACACGACCCCTTCCTCACACACCCGCCTTGCACCCGGGAGAGGACTGTGTGTCCCCCACTGCCCCATCGGATGCTCTGGGCTCTGCCTCAGGGAACTTGGGTTTGGGGAACTGTTTATTTCAGACGTACTGGAGTGGCCAGTGTGGCAGTGGCCACTCAGGGTGGGCTGGGTCCCGAGCCCCATCCCTGACACTTCTCCTGCTGAACCCTCAGGCTGCTGCCCACACCAGGGTGCGACTGAGGGCTACACAGGCCTGGGTTTCTGCTGCGAGGAAGGGGCTAGCACCTCCCCTGTTGTGTTGCCAGCACAGGCACAGTTTGTGGGTTTGGTGGCAGGTAGGTGGTGTGTGGGAGAAAGGACAGTGTTAGAGGCCCCTGCTCTGTGGCCCAGGAACATGAAAGGTGAACACACAAGTACACAAATGTGCCGTGCCCTGGCATGGGGCTTATGTGTGCACAGGCGAGGGACTCAGTGTGTGTGTGTGGACCCCGGGGTCCCAGGTCATGTGAAGCATACTTGTGTGTACATTTGTGTGTGTGTACATTGTGTGTGTGTGTACATTGTGTGTGTGTGCATTGTGTGTGTGTGTACATTGTGTGTATACATTTGTGTGTGTGTGCATTGTGTGTGTGCATTTGTGTGTGCATTGTGTGTGTGTGTACATTGTGTGTGTACATTTGTGTGTGTGTTTGTGCATTGTGTGTGTGCATTGTGTGTGTACATTGTGTGTGTGCATTGTGTGTATACATTGTGTGTGTACATTGTGTGTGTGTGCATTGTGTGTGTGTGTACATTGTGTGTGTGTGTGGCCATATAGATGTGACCTCCCAGAACACAGTACCCCTCCGCCTCTACTCCAGCTCAGACAGCCGAGCTCTCCCCCGTCCTGTGTGCGTGTCAGTATGGCCATGTGCGTAACCCCGGGTGGGCTGTCCTGAGCTGGGGGCCTGCTTGTCCCTTCCCAGAACCACCCTCTGCAGGACAGGAAGTCTGCCCCAAGTCTGGCCACAGCCTTCCTGTTCCCATCTCGGGCTGCCTGGGAGATGCCAGAGCAGACCCCAGCCCCCAGTCCCCTCTTCTGCCTGGCTGGACAGGACCCCCATTCAGCCCAGGTGTTTCTGGAAGTCCCACGGCCTTGGGGCCACAGGAGAAGGGTTGCAGCATGGCTGGGGCACCGCTCCCACCGCCTGGAGTGGCATTGGGCCCACAGCTGCCCCTCTCTGGGCCTCAGGTGGACCAGGGGATCTCCAAGGGTCTGCTGTGCCCTGACTTCCTACGCGTCCCCCGCATCCTATGATGTGTCTGCTTGTCGGCTGCTGTCTGTGTGCGTCCTGGTGTGTTGTCTGGGGGCTGGTGTCTTTTGCATGTTCTCGGACAAATGTGTGCCGCCTGCCCAGGCGCCTACAACCATCGAGCCCACGTGTGCCCCACGTGTGCCCTGCGGGTGGTCCCGGGCCTGGCCAGGGCTCAGTGCTCCTCCTCCCCCTCCTCCCTGTTCCCGTCCCTCATGAAGCACACTGCGTGTCCATCCCATGTGCCCGTGGGTCGCACGCTCTTGCCACGCCCTGAGCGTGTACACATGACGTGTTCTATGCATTCACCCTGCCCCCCAGCCCGCCCCGCAGAGGACAAGATGGGTGGCCCCCGGCTCCCTTTCCCCTAACCGCCCCTGCCCGCTGTGCAGCCGTGTGCGTTGGCGTGTGTTTCTGTGTCGCTGGCGTGTCACGTGATGTAGCTGTGTTTGCTGACATGAGCCCCTGCCCCCTTCTCTGTTTCTCCGTTGGTTTCTAGAGCTCTCTCCCTCCCCTCCCCAGAGGGGACAGGACTCCTGGGGCCTGGCTGGGGCCCAGAGCCAGGCCGCCCTCTCCTGTTAGCCCTCAGAGTCCCATTTCTCTCTATTGGTGACCAACTTGCAAATGGATAAAACACAGGAAAATCCTGCCCCCGCCCCCCCTTCCGCCCTGCATGTCCTGTCCCCAGAGCCCCCCACCCCACCCCGGGCCAGGTCGGGCCCTGTGGGACGGGAGAAATAGCAACCAATCCAACAGCGGGCGTGCTGTGTGCTCACTTCCTTCTGTCCCCACGTGGGATGGGCGCCGTGGGGAGGCGGACACGGGGTGCGGGGGGCGGGAGGGAGAGCTGGACAAACAGATGGACACAGTCGTGGATGAGGCTTTTAATCTGGGCGCAGCCAGGTACAGCATCTGGGACATCCCCAGGCCTGGGGCTGGCGATGTGCGGGGAAGGAACTTGGGTAGAGAGGTGGGAAGTGAAAGCACAGGGAGGCCGCAGCCCTCCAGAGGGGAATTCTAAGACAGACGCTTGAAGGTGAGGCCTTTGAAAAACAATGGGAACATCACCTCCCAAAGAGGGACTGAGGTGGCTGGAGGAACCAGAGCCGCCTCTGCACTCTGCACTGAGGCCTGAAGGTCATGCGTGGATGTCAGGAGAGCAGCGTGAGCCTGTGGAGCCTCTGCTCGCTTCCTGCTCAGAAAGCCAGAAGAGAGCCCGGGCAGGTCGCCAGGGCACCGACCCTCACCAAGTGGCCATCAGGACCGGGGTGAGAGGACAGAGGAAGGACACTCTGTCCCCAAACCCTGCCCTTGTATCCTGACAGCCCTAGGACTTTGAGGCGTCAGGACAAAGCACAGACTCAAGGCTCCTGGATTGATGATGTGGAGGGCTTGGGCCGGGCACGGTGGCTCACACCTGTAGTTTCAGCGCTTTGGGAGGCCCAGGTGGAAAGATCACTTGAGCCTAGGAGTTCAAGACCAGCCTGGACAATATAGTGAGACCCTGTCTCTACCAAAAAAAAAAAAAAAGCCAGGTGTGGTGGTGTGCACCTGTGGTCCCAGCTATTCAGGAGGCTGAGGCAGGAGGATCACTTGAACCCAGGAGGTTGAGGGTGCAGTGAGTTATGATCACGCCACTGCACTCCAGTCTGGGTGGCAGAGCAAGACCCTGTCTCAAAAAAAAAAAAAAAAATGTGGAGGGCTCTAGGACAGCCATTCTGGCCCCAGAGCCCTACCTCCTGCTCTGGAATGCAGCCGTCCCTTCCCCGTCCAGGTTGTGAGGGCTCAGGACCTGGGTGGATGTGCCATGATGGGCCTCCAGGCCCCAGCCCCGCCGTCACTGGGCTGAACTCCCAGCGGCCTGTACCCAGAGAATGGTGCGGGTCCGGCTATCCTCCCATGAGAACAGGGGCTCATAGCCAAAATGGCGCTGAGCCTTGTCGGTGCTGACAGTGAAGGTGGTGTTGGCCACGGCCAGCGTGTAGGGGTTCAGCAGGGGCGCGTAGAGCACCAGCGGCCGCAGCAGCCACTGCAGCAGGGCATTGAGGGCAGCGAGGAACACCAGCAGCCAGTAGGGCAGCAGTGGGCGGGCACCCACCAGCTGCAGTCCACAGGGGCCCAGGAATTCCATGTTGAAGTCCTCGTAGCTCTTGTAGGGTGATCCGTCGTAGCAGAAGTACACCTGGCCGCCCATCAGGGCTGCCCGCCGCTCCAGTTCCCGGGCTGCCAGCACATGCATCCAGGCCACATTGCCTGCCGGTGGCAGAAGAGAGGCGGACACACCCCTGAGCGCCATTGTGACACCACATCGAGGCTGCTCTCCTGGGCCACCCCCTCTTTGGGTCCAGGTAGTTGCCACCCACATCCCCATAGCAGCCTGGGAAAGGCTGCCGTTTCCCTCGCCCTGGTAGTCACTTGCTCTCCTGGGCCCGCCTGCATCTGCAAAGAACCTGGGGAGAGGATGGAGAAGCCAGGACTTGTGGGGTGGGCCCTGAGGGGCTTGGGGACTGCAGGATGGAGCGGCAGGTGACATTATTCCCTCTGTAGGTGCTACTCCCTTTTTAGTTTTAGAGATAGGGTCTTTCTCTGTCGCCCAGGCTGGAGTCCAGTTGGTGTGGTCATAGCTCACTGCAGCCTCCAACTCCTGGGCTCAGGCTGTCCTCCCGCCTCAGCCTCCCAAAGTGCTGGGATTATAGGTGTGAGCCACTGAACCCAGCCCTTTTGGTGCTGTGTAGACACTGTCCCTCTCCTCTCCTCTCCTGGGGAATGGCTGCTCCCGCAGCTGCAATCTTTGTAGCCTATGATACACTTTTTAATGTCCCAACTTGCATGGATCCTGTATTCTCTGCAGGCTGTGTAGACACATAATCACAGGCTTTCCCCACATAATCACAGTCTACCTTGGCCCATGTATAGACCACATTTTTCTAGTCAGAGTCCACACTTCTCTCCCAGGGTCATATGGGTCCCGCCCCCTTCTAGAGCAAGTGCTCCTGTCATGTTCTCAGCCTCCCCCTGCCTAGCCCAGTCCTCACCCACGTAGACCCGGCCATGCTCCACAGAGGCCGGGATGGCCCGGAAGAGCCAACCTCCCAGGCGCAGACCCTGGCGGTAGAAGTCCCTCATGATCTGGTGGCCTTCACCGTAGATGCCCGTGGGACGAAGGGCACACGTCACCAGGGGCAGCCCCCCATGGACCTGGTGGCAAAGGCAGGCACTGCTGAGACCTGAGACTTGACAGCTCGCTCTCAGCCCCAGCCTCCCTGGGCTGGCTGGGTAAGGGGGTGTACAGGGCAGGAGCCCCATCTCTGCGCCTCCTATTTCTGGGCTCACCTCCCTCCCATTGGCCTCTAGGACCAGCCGCTCAGCCAGGGCCTTGCTGCAAGGATAGGGGTGCCTGTGCACTGCTTCGTATAGGGTGTCTTCGTTGCCCCTGGTGGGAGGAGAAGGAAGACTCAATGCTGAGGGAAATGGGCTCTTAGAGGACAGGAGGGCCTGCCACTCACCTGTAGAAGGGGTGACCTTTGGTGTTAGGCCCCACGACTTCCATGCTGCTGGTGTAGACCAGGAACCGTGTTCCAGTCTGCACACAAGCCTGGATCACGTTCCGGGTGCCTGGCAGAGGAGGGGGTGTATCCAGGCTGCAGCTTCCTCCCTCTCTGCATCTTCCTCCTCCCCATCCCAGGTCCAGGAAAAACCACAACAGGTCAGGGGAGGCGGGGGCAGGGCTGTCAATAGGACAGCTTGTCCCAGGGGAGTCACAGGAGGTCAAGGCCAAAGACAGAGTGGGGAACAAACAAGCAAGATGGCCAGGAGTATCCAGGGCTCCTCACCCTGCACGTTGACCTCATGGATGGTCTCAGGACTGGCCCTGCCAAACACGTCTACCAGCCCAGCGGTGTGGATGACCACATGGGCTCCGGCCACAGCTGCTGCCACCTCATGGGCCTCGGTCACGTCCCCCTGGATGGCAGTCACCCTCACAGGCCCTGGCCGGGGTTGGAGGACACAGGCCATGTCAGAGCTGGGGCCAGAGGCCAGAAACTGGGTTCATCTTCCACTCTGGAGTCACGTTCCCAATGTGACTCACTCGTCCCATCCATGTGGACAGAAACTAGCATCATCTGTTCCACTGCAGGGGTGGGGATCCCAGCTTTGGAAGGGATGGGGAAGCAGCGTCCACACCCTCTCCGCCACAAGCTCCCCCAACACGAACCTGTCTTCAGCTCCTCCAGCCAGGGACCCAGGTGTCGGTCAAAGACCCGCAGCTCCCCAAGCCGGGGCTCCCGCTGCAGCAGCATTCGCACCACGTGCTCTCCCAGGAAGCCGCAGCCCCCTGTGACCAGGTACACCAGCTTCTGGGCCTGTGCAGAGTCGGCCATGCCCGGCTGGGGAAGAGACCTTGGCTCACCCAGGGACTGGCTGCCACCTGCCGCAACCACCTGTTACTGCTGGAGGTGCCCTGGAGCACTGACGAGGCTGGCGTTTGGGGGGAGGGCAGAACTGATCCTGGGAGCTGCAGCAACCAGGCCACCAGTCATCTGCCCCTGCTGATGGCTGAGTTATGGAGAGAGGGACGGGCTTGGGGTACAGGAAAGGGTCAGGGTTTGGGGAGAGAGATCTGAGGGCAGTAAAAGGGTGGGGAGGCCGGGAGTTGAGGGAGGTGGAGGGAAGGTTATAGGAAGGCGGGAAGGGCCGGATGGAGGGAAAGGCCACCTGGGTGGGCACTGGCAGCGCCTCTGCCTACCTGCAGCCGCTGTCCCAGGGTGCCCAGACTGGCCTGGAGGGGCCCTCTTCTTTCGTCCAGGGCTGGCCAGCCCACACACCGTCCCCTTCCGCTGGCTCCTCCTTCTCCCTCCTGCCCCATTCCAGGAACAGAGACCCGCCCAGCCACAACCCCCACCACTTGCCCTAAGGCGCCCCCTGGCGGCCACTCTGTGCTCCACTGGCATCCCCATCCAGCGGAGAACTTGGGGGGATGAAGTTGGAACTTGCTGAATGGGCTAAGGGGTCCGGGGCTCTGGGTGGAGCCAGCAGGTGACCTCATCCCACAGTGTGACCTCAGGCCTTCCCTCCCGCTGGGCTTCCCAGGAGGCCAGAGGCCCAGCTGCAGCTGTGGTTCTGGGAAGGGGAGGCCTGACCTTGGCACCGCCCTGGCGGGCACTGGTGGGGGATTCCTGGTATGGGTGCGGCTGCGGCTGCCACAGCCTGTCTAGGGGTCCAAAGCAGTCTCGGGGCCTCCGCAGGTCTGGGTTGTTGCCTGAAGGCCCCTTTACCAGCCCCACACTTCAGGTACTCAGTTTTGCCTCTCTTCATCTTGCCCAATCCTCCGTGCCCTCCACCCCCAACCCCTCACTCCTGCCCAAATACACTGACCAAGCACTTTTGTACAATAAAGTTTAATCACAATTATAAAAATGTGGCGTCAGGTTTGCGCTATTAACATATGTACAGTCCAGCCCAGCAGAAGGGGCCCACCCCACCATCCTGGCCTGGCTGAGCCGGGGCGTGACACCAGGGTGGGAGGGTGACCCTCAGGGTCTGGCAGGAACAGATGAGGCAGGGTTCCAGGCACGGAGTCCCCAGGACTGGGGGTGCAGAGCCCCCCCAGGGGGAGAACATGGCCACTGCCCCAGAGACCCCTAAACTGGGGAGGGGTACACGCAGGGCATAAGGGGAAGTCCCCATTAACACAAAGCGAGAGGACTGTGCAGCCCCCAGGACAGAATCTGTACAGGCCGGCACCCCAGGTTTCCACAGGAAACAGCTGCTGGCTGCTACAAAACATTTACAGCTTCTTCTCCGCAAAGAAAAACAATCAGGGGGTGGTGGGCAGGGGCGACAGGAGAGGCAGAAGCTGCCTCCAGGGACTGAGGCTCCCTCGCTGGGCTTGGGGCCCCCCAACCCCACGCTTGGAGATGGGGGCATGTGGGCCCTGCTGAGCCCACTAAGGCTGGGGGGTGCTGGGAGCTCAGGGCACCAGGGGGAATAAATAGGGGTGTGGGCACCCGTCCTGCCCCACCTCAGTTTAGGGAGCCCCGGCAGCTCTCCGTGCCGCACAGACACGGGATCTTGTTGTCTTCCAGTGGGAACTTGTAGTCATAGGTGATCTCCTCGTCCACGCCGATAGGCTGCTTGGAGTAGATCACAATCTTCTTCTGGGACTCGATGGTGATGACCTTGGCGTAGCAGTTGGGCTGCGGAGGGAAGGGCATGTGAGCCGTGGCCACCCCCACCGACCCCCGAACTCCTGCCCCAGCCAGCCCCTGACGCACCGTGCAGCAGTGGTTGATGAACCTGGCCAGGTTGCCACACTTGGTGGCATCGATGATGGTGTCATGGTCCACCCGGAACAGGTAGCTGCTGCCAATGCCCTCCTGCACGTAGCGCTTCTCCCGCATGTCGGCCACCATCTGCCAGGGTGAGATGCGATGGTCAGGGAAGAGCCCCCCACTTCCTGCCCCTGAGCACACCTGCCAGCCAGCACCCCAGGTCCATGCCCACCAGGCCTGGAGCTGCAGCTCTGCCTCCGGCTCCCGCTAACCCGGCACTGACTCTCTCGACTCTGCTTCCAGGAGCCCTCCCTCTTTGGGGCAGCATAAGTCACCGGCAGGGGACTCCAGGGAAATGTGCATCGGGAAGGAGAGCCACTGGCTCCTTCAAGCATCTGCCTGATCACAGTGGGGTCCCCGGACTGCTGGGGCAAGTCTGGGGCTGGGGCAGCTCCTGAAATGACAGTGGCCATGTCACCAATGGCACCCTGCTCATCTCTCCTCCCTGGACCTCTCTCCAAAACAGGCACCTGTTGGCTGCCACTGACCAATGCAAATAGCAGGCCGCCCATGTTAGGCCCTGCACCCCTGTGAGGAGCAACCCTTACTTCCCAGAAGACAGTGAGGAGCCTCTGTGTGCCCTCCTCGGGTGACCTCACTCCCTTCCAGAGCCTCAGCCACCAGCTGTGTGGTGGGGACTCCTCCCAAACTTCCATTTCCAGCCAAAAGCCACCTCAGTGGAGCTGCTGGGCGTCGTCCCCTAGATGTCCCTGGGGCATTGCAACCCCACATGTCCAGACTAGAGCTCATCTTGACCACCTATCTGTTCTTCCTCCTCACTCCCAGCTCACTGGCCATCCCACCATACTCCCAGCGGCTAAGAGCAGCACTGAGGGCCTCCTATCCCCCTCACCCTCTCACTGCTGAGCTCAGTCAACCACCTTGCACCTTCTCTGTCACCTCTGCTGCCACTGCTTGGGTCGGGCCACCTTTGCCTTTGCCTGGACACTGGTGTCAGCCTAGACAGGGAGCTCACTAGCCACGGGGCCCTCTCCTGCGGAAGGCTCCGGGACTTTCCTCCTCTCTCGCCACAGGCCCAAGTGGATTCACAGGCTCCCAAGCCCGTGCAGTCTGGGCTCCCTGTCCCCTCCAGCCTCCAGCTGCATGTCGCTGCCACTGGCCCTGGTTTCTTTTTTTTCCTTGAGACGGAGTTTTGCTCTATCACCCAGGCTGGAGTACAATGGCGTGATCTTCGCTCACTGCAACCTCTGTCTCCCACGTCCAAGCGATTCTCCTGCCTTAGGCTCCCTAGTAGCTGGGATTAAGGCGCCTGCCACCATGCCTGGCTAATTTTTGTATTTTTAGTAGAGATGGGGTTTTATCATGTTGGCCAGGCTGGTCTTGCACTCCTGACCTCAGGTGATCCGCCTGCCTCAGCCTCCCAAAGTGTTGGGATTACAGGCGTGAGCCATCGAGCCCGGCCATGGCCCTGGTTTCTAATGAGCCAAGCTGACCTCCATATTCTCACAAGACAACCCTGCCTCCAGGCCCGTGCACGTGGTGTCCCGCAACTAAGCACACACACAATGCCACTCGCCTGGGCCTGTGAGCTCCTTTCAGCTTTGCTCAAGCACCATGGTCTCCAGGAGGTCTTAGGCCCCCCAGGTGTGTGTTCCCATGGCCCAACTCCCCAGATCTTGTGAATACCAAATGCCATCCTTTTGGCTTTTGTTTTTTCTAGAGACATGGCCTCGCCCTGTTGCCCAGGCTGGAGTGCAGTGGTGCAGTCTTGGCTCATGGCAGCCTCCACCTTGTGGTCTCAAGTGATCCTCACACCTCAGCTTCCTGGGTAGCTGGGACCACAAGCATGCACCACCATGCCCGGCTAGCTTTAGTATTTTTTGCAGAAACGGGGTCTGGCAATATTGCTCAGGCTGGAACACCATCCTTTTGTGTGGATACTTGTTCAGTGTCTGTCCTCCTGCTTCCCAGGCCCTTTGAAAGGCAGCAGCACGGGCCGGGCGCGGTGGCTCAAGCCTGTAATCCCAGCACTTTGGGAGGCTGAGACGGGCGGATCAAGAGGTCAGGAGATCGAGACTATCCTGGTCAACATGGTGAAACCCCGTCTCTACTAAAAAATACAAAAAACTAGCTGGGTGAGGTGGCGGGCGCCTGTAGTCCCAGCTACTCGGGAGGCTGAGGCAGGAGAATGGTGTAAACCCGGGAGGCGGAGCTTGCAGTGAGCTGGGATCCGGCCACTGCACTCCAGCCTGGGCGACAGAGCGAGACTCTGTCTCAAAAAACAAAAACAAAAACAAAAACAAAAAAAAAAGGAGCAAGGCTTGGACGGACACGATGGCTCACACCTGTAATCCCAGCACTTTGAAAGGCCGAGGCAGGCAGATCACAAGGTCAGGAGATCAAGACCATCCTGGCCAACATGGTGAAACCCTGTTTCTACTAAAAATACAAAAATTAGCTGCACATGGTACACGCCTGTAGTACCAGCTACTCAGGAGGCTGAGGCACGAGAATTGCTTGAACCCAGGAGGCAGAGGTTGCAGTGAGCCAAAATTGTGCCCCTGCACTCCAGCCTGGCAACAGAGAGAGACTATGTCAAAAAAAAAAAAAGAAAGGGAGCAGTGCCATTAGCTGTGCCTCCTGCTGGACCACTGACAACTGCTGCTGACCACACTGGAGGGAGGCTGGTCTCACTGGCTAGGTACCGGGGCTAGGGGGTGTGCGAGGCTTTAACCAGGACAAATGGCATGTGTGTGAGCCCCCATGCCGTCTTGCTGCATCAGAAGCCGGGGCGGGGCTGGGAGTGCAATCTCACCTGACGGATGTTCTGACCCACGTATTCGATGACCATCTCGTCAGCAGCAATGGGTTCCATGGCAAACAGACCCCACTCGTGGATCCGGCTCCGGCCAAATCGGAGCTTCTTCTTCCGGAACTGGGGAGCAGAAGGGAGACTCAACTGCCAGACGCCTGCCACACCCCAGACCCTCGCTCTTCCCAGACTTCCTGGGCAGAGAGCATTCTGGCCGCTTACCCCCCAACTCCACCTGAGGCAGCCACAGGAGCCTGTTGGGTGGTCCCCTGGCCTCTGCCCCTTCCTGCCCCACTCTACCCCACCCAGGCCCTCCCGCAGCCCGGTCTCACCTTGAGCTGGTTGAGTTTCAGCAGGTCACTGTCCATGATGGCGGAGGTACCGATGGCGCTCAGCAGCCGCCGTTGCTCGGACCGGCGCTCGGATAGCACGCGGTTCGTCCCCTGTGAGATGCAGGGCAGGGAGGAGGTCAGCAGGGCAGAGAGGTGAGTGGCGGGAGGAGCATGCGGCGGCGGGGTCGGGCCCACCTGAGTGTCCACGCCCTCCAGCTGCCGGGCCGAGACTGGGCACACATCCAGGTACTTGTCCTTCTCCTTCTTGCTGATGGGGTAGTAGCCTTCGCTACGGGCCGAGCCTGTCTGGTGCTCCCGGGGCCCATCCTGGGGCCGCCGCTTGCGTTTTGGGGTGGTCAGGTTGGTGAGTGCAGGGTGTTAAGGAAGAGAACGGCTCCTCTCTGGCCACCCGCGTCCCAGCCAAAGGAGAGGGCAGGGCCCACGCCGCTGAAGGTACTCAGGTGAGGGAGAGGGGAGGAAGCCCCAGCCCCATGGTTC